CAAGTCTGAGCCCAAGTCCCCCATTTAGCATGATAATTCTTCACTGTGGCTCTCTGCATTTTCATACTTGTCTACTAATACTATTGCTGAGTGTCTTACCCTCAAATGTTGCATAGAAATTTCACTTTTTTCCTCTACTAATCATTACTTGCCTCTTCAAGAGTATTCAGCTCACCTTCTGGCATGCAGTCTAGGTCATTTATGCCACATACCAAATGTTCACTATATAGGAACTGACCAGCACAGAGGTGTCCATATGCTTTGTTCATGGGGCAATAGGGAGCCCTTTTGCCAAGGTTCTAAAGTGCTGAGCTTTGGTTTCTCTTAATTCAGGAAGAGAATTCAAGAACCAAACCATAAATAGTGGTGATGACTCTTCTGTAATTACTTGAGTCCTGAGTGTTTCACCTCACATCCTTTAATGCCCTTATCTTCACTTGCAGGTGGTTAACAGACCACTATTATATAATCTGCACTGCTAATTCAAGTATGTTGAGATGCTTGCTGAGTCCTTGAGAGACTTTGAGAGAGTATTCAATTTTTTTTAGCTGCCTACATCTGAGCAAGTCATGGTGATGCTTATAGCACTGCTCTATTTGGACTAATTACCAAGGGATGTGGGAAATTCTCCATTAGTTGCAATCTCTATTGAAATTGTGTGTGCCACCTTTCAGATATGTTCTAGTTCTACCTAAAACAGGTTGAATGCAGCAATCACTGGTTAGGATTATCTTGCTCATGTTATGTAGGAGGTCAGAGTAAATGATTGTAATGGTCCTTTCTGGCCTTAAAATTTACAAGTTTAATCTATTCTATTTTCATAGACCTGACCATCACACACGAACAACAGATTGCCATGCCCACTTACTGAAAGTGATTGAACCATAATATTATTGCTGAAAACTATTCCTTGCTTCTCTAGGCTGAAATCAGCTGCTACCATCATTACTTGTGTCAAAAAAATACCACTCTTCTTTTGACCCTGCTGGAAATAGTAGAAGGATGGTTGGAGGCACTTTGAGAGAGTCTGTGAGGCATTGGTGCATCTGATGTGTTTGTAACATGGGCACACCGTGTTTGTACGGTTGGATGTTTTTGTAGCACGACTACTGGAATCCGGCATTATTGGTATGGCCCTATCGGGCCAAATGAGCCCTTGGGAAGATGTATGGGGTTGTGAGTACAGCCTGGCTCCAGCTCCTTCATTTCCAGATTAAATTCAGTATGTTTGCGTTCTGGTTTGTTGGTTGAAAAAGATGGCTTACTTGTGAAGCAGGCCAGTAGAAGCCATGTTTGAACACCATGGCACTTTAGAATTCCTAAGCCTACATAAACCCTTGGGAAGGTACCCTGCAGGGACAGTACAGCTTCCCATGTTGCCAGTCCCAACTCAGCTGAGCATTCTCAGCTGTAGTACACTGGAAAGGGCTCATGTTGCTTCAGGGACCCAGAAAAATGTGTTGTATAAGGAGTGTCGGGAACAATGACCTTGTTAGCTGTGTTAGTATCCAGTCCATGAATAGCCAATTCCTTTCTTCTTCTTGTTCATTATAAAAGAGCTGGATTATCTCCAGAAGCAAATAAATTGAAATGACTTGCCAGGGTCCTCAGTATAGAAGTAAAGAAATACCAGGGCCTGGATTCTGCTTTTGTAACAGGGAGGTTGAGTAATTGGTTTTATGCGGGCCGTTTTTTGTCCCTTGAGCCATTAGTTTCCATCATGTCCTGTGTGTGTAGGGGTTGTCCTGTGTGTGTAGGGTCTCTGCCACCCAGAGTATGGGGATCTACATTATGCAGTGTTGGGTTAGGCACGAGCTTTGTGTTCAGTAAAATTATAGTTTCTCGTGTCTTTTCTAAATTGCTATAGAATTACTGCTGAATATCTCTTAGCTCCTGTTTTAAATGTAGTAGTTACTTCAAGTTTTTGTTGGTATACACTGGAATTATACCTATAAGAAAATTACACACACACACACCTCTAGAATGATACCTGGGCTGCTGTAGCTTTGAATTTGCTGTAATTATTAGGGATGTAAAAAGGTAACTGTGTAACTGCTAAATATCCTAGTGGTTATACATGCTGCGGGCTCTGCCATAGTCCCTGGGTTACGTACAAGATAGGGACTGTAGGTTTGTTCTTAAGTTGAATTTGTATGTAAGTCGGAACTGGTACATATTGTAGGGGAAACTCTAGCCAAACATTTCTCCAGAGCTCAGTTTTATTCTCCCACACCTCACTTCCCTCAGTCCTTTATTCTCAAGCTGAGGTGTCTGCTGAGAAAAGCCGCTCTGCATCTCGCTGGTCTGCTGGGGGGAAGCAGCTAGTGCGGGGTTGCCTCACCCCGTTTGTAAGTAAGGAACCGATGTAAGTCGGATCCATGTAACCCGGGGACTGCCTGTATGTTAAAATGCATTTTTTTGTGTGTAAACATGTAAGCACTAAAAAAAATGCAGTGATTACACATTTACACATGGGGGGAAAGCTGGCTCCCCATGATAGAGGCAGCAGCACAGGGGAGGAGGACAGCTGGCTCGGTGGGAGTTGGCTTGGAAGCCAGTTTCTGCCTGCCTGCCTCCCTCCCTCCCTTCCCTCTTTGCTGCTGCCACTGTGGGAGGCAGTGGGGAGGGGACAGACAGCTCCCGCCTCCCCTCCCCTCCCCCCCTTCCCCACACATGGCAGTGTGGTGGGGAGGTGCGCGTGTAACCATGTACTTAGATACACATTCACATCCATACTTTATACCAGTGGTCTCCAAACTTTTTAAGCATGAGATCACTTTTTGAAATTAAATGCTGTCCACCATCTACCTCAAACCCAAACACCTTTGCACCGCCTCCTTTCCACCCCTTCGCCGAGGTTCTGCCCCTGCTCACTCCATCCTCCCTCCCCATCCTCACTCACTTTAATCAGGCTGGGAGCAGGGGTTTGGGGTTCAGGACTGGGGCCGGGGTTTGGAGTGCAGGCTCCAGTTGGGCACGACTTACCACAGGTGACTTGCATGGTGGTGCAGTGGGGCTAAGGCAGGCTCACTCCTACCCTGTCCCTGCACCACTCCCAAAAGCAGCCAGCCAGTGATGGAGAGTAGCAAGGGCTACTAGCCCCGCTCCCCAGGAAGGCTTTGCTGCAGGCTCTGTAGGTAGCTCCCCAGGAGTGGGGCCAGCCAGGGAGCCAGTGTGTAATTGACTGGGGCCAGGCACACTAAGGACAGGGGCGGCCAAAGTAGCCCCTGCCTGTAGTTGGCCCTAGGGGCTAGGGATGTTAAGTAGTGTGTAATTAGGTAATGATTAGTCAATAAGGTGGGATGTTTGCTACCCCCACTGCAGCTCTGCAGTTTAAATGTAGTAGGAGCTGGGTGTGTAGGCAGCCCGGTTCCTACTCCATTTAAACTGCAGAGTCACAGAGGGTTTAGCTCTCTTGGCAGTGCAAGCCAGGACTGAGCTGTCCTGGCTTGCGCCTGGTCCTCAACCACTGCACCTCTTCCTTTTAAATGTAGTAAGAGCCACCTGACAGTCCTTGAAGTGGATTTGGCTCATGCCAGGTCACCTGCTGTGCCTCTGTCTCCCCTGTGCCACCTGCCACCCTGTGGAGATGGTGCTGGGGGAACTAAAGCTGGCTCCCCCCAGCATTGGCTCCTGTTCCCCCCCCCCCCCCTTGCTGCCTCTGATACAGAGGCAGCATGGAGGGGAGAGAGGAGAAGCGAGTAGTCAAGTAGTGACTCAACTACCCGATAAGCCTGGGCTTATCATGTAGTCGACTACTCAACTAATCACTTACAGCCCTACTGGGGTGAGTAGAAAAATGTGCCAGCTCCTACCAGGTAACTGGAACCAGTAAGCCTCACCTATTAAGGGTGAGGCTAACCGGTTAACTATTTACATCCTTAGTAGCTATTATGTTCATCGTGGTGTCCTGTCACAAGCACACACTTGATTTTTTTTTAAATAGGGGAACTGTACAGTTTCTGTAAAGGAGAGGTGAATATACCAAATTATTAATATATGTAGACTTTCAAATAAATACACTTTCAGTGCAGGAAGGAAATGGCAGTGGATTTGGTTGTCTAGTATGATATATCACAGAAAATGTGCCTTTTTGAATTAAAAATTTTAAGTTCAGAAACTAAAGAATAAATCCTTCTGAAATACTGACTTTTTCAATGTAACTGTAAAACTTGCACATTATAGCTAGAATTTCCAGAGGCTACTATGGAGATTAAAATGCTCATCCCCCACTGAATTTCAGGAGTATTAAAGTCAGAATAATCAAAGTACTGCTATTTTTCCTAATTATTTGGCTTTTTAACATCTAAAAGGCACAGAGTCTCCATTCTAGCTGATCAGATATATTTGATTTTCATAAATATTTAAACTGATTGCTCACTCCACTGACTAAATGTACTTTAATAAAGTATGCACCTTTTTGTAATATCTTTGACAAATTAGATGGTTCCAAAAGCAAATTAGTTTGGATGTTTTTGCAAGATTAGCATGACCTGCTGGGAGAAATGCTATATGGCTAGTAGTAGTTTCCTGAAATTTCAATAAAATTGTGTTGGTTACACACTTTTTAATGTCACAGAATGGACCAAATTCAACTCTGGTGTGACTCCATGAACTTCAGTTTGGCTCAGTATGTTCAGGACTGTGAATGAGACAGTATTGCACAACTTAAAATTTTTTTGAGGGACTTGTTTGAGGATTTAATATTTGTAGGCAAACCTACTGAGCCTATGGATTTCTTTCTGTGCCGTGTTTAGATACAAACGGGTTTTCTCGTCACATCTTTGTTAGAATAGCTATCAGTTTTCATAATGTGGCAGCTATGGTAAATTGAGATAACTTAGTTGCAAGCCTGCTGTGTATTAGGAATGCTACAATACAGACAATGTTTATAACCAAACTGCTTTTAAATAATAGCAGAGAGATGCGTGCATCTGTTAAGTGTTCGATCCTGTAATAAAATGTCTTCTTCACTGATAACCCTCTGTCTGCTTTATCAGACTATGCATTTGTTCACATGGAGAAAGAAGCAGATGCAAAAGTTGCCATCGAAAATCTTAACGGAAAGGAAGTGAAAGGAAGAAGAGTCAATGTGGAACTCTCTACTAATGTTCAGAAAAAGGGAGCAGGACAAAATGCCCAGGCAGGCACCAATGCTGACAAGAGCAAGAGAGCAAGTGTGGACTATAGAGAGAGAAATCAACCCAAGATAGATGGTTATGAGCAGTTTAGGCCTACAGACTCTACTTACCAGTCAGTCTCTGCAGGATACACTGCATCCTCAGTCTACGAGTACCAGCAGCGTTTCGGTGGCGCCAACACTTCAAGCAAATACAACTCCTTTGATACTCAGATAAGGCAAGCATCTCCCTCATATTTTGGAAGGGACAGAAGCCCAATTCGACGATCACCATCAAGAACCAGCTTTGTCACTGTGTCGCTACCCATGACAGCACAGCCAGCATCCTACAGAGCTCAGCCATCAACCTCACTGGGTGCAGCCTACAGAGCCCAGCCCTCTGTATCACTCGGAATGTCTTACAGACCCCAGCCAACAACAGGACAGGCAGCCTCTTACAGAGCCCAGCCCTCCGCCTCACTTGGAAATACTTACAGAACCCAGTCCTCTGTCTCACTAGGAGCTTCTAATTCCCAGCCTGCAGCCTCATCACTAAATTCCTACAGTGCTCAGGCTGCTGCTTCTTACAACACCCAGGCTGTAGCTTCTCAGTTAGCCTCTTATGGGGTTCAGTCCACAGCAACACTAGCATCATCCTATGGAGCTCAATCTTCAGCCACGCATGCAGCTTCTTATGGTACTCAGCCTATGGCCGGTTACTCATCCTATGGAGCTCAGCCGACAGCCACGCATGCAGCTGCTGCCTATGCAGCTCAGCCTGCAGCTGGGCATACAAACACCTATGGAGCCCAGCCTGTGGCCACACATGCAGCTGCTTATGGAGCCCAGCCTGCAGCAGGTCACTTGGCTTCTTATGGAGCCCAGCCTGTGGACAGCCACTCAGCCTCTTATGGAACCCAGCCTGCAGCTAACCTCTCAGCCTCATATGGTGCTCAGCCTGTGGCCAGCCATTCAGCCTTGTATGGCACTCAGCCTGCAGCTGCTCTCTCAGCTTCATATGGTGCTCAGCCTGTTGCCGGTCATTCAGCTTCATATGGCACCCAACCTATGGCCAGTCATTCAGCCTCGTATGGTGCCCAGCCTGCAGCTATGCTTTCAGCAACCTATGGCACCCAGCCTGCATCCACTCTGGCTGCATCTTACAGCAATCAGTCTGCAGCAGCTTCCTACAAATCACAGGTTTCTGCTCCACTGACGACACCCTATAGAACACAGTCTTCAAACTCAATGTCAGCTTCATATACAGCACAGCAACCCTCTTCTGTTCCCTTGGCAGCCGCTTACAGAGCTCAGCCTGTGACTGCATATGATGGGCCAACCCAGCTTGGACAACAAGCAAACCCGTATTTGGGACTGTCTCAGTCTTCTGCTGCCATCGCACCACCATACGAACGCACCCGCCTCTCTCCTCCACGGAGTGCTGGGTATGATGATCCTTTCAAAAAATCATCTGCTTTGGCTAAAAGGTATGCGGCTAAGCCAGTGATAATACTTTGCACATAAATAGCGCCTCTCATTCAAGGATCTCGATGTGCTGTCCAAGGGACTAGAGGCAGTCAGACTCAATACAAGTCTATTGGTCTTCGCCTTTATAAACTTGGTTCTGCTTCAGCAAAAGGTGGAAATTCCCTTGCTAATACATTAAACTTACTTACAGTTCTGGAAGCATTGACAGGGTGGGAGGTGTTACTCGCTGCATTATTAAAATGACAAAATGGCTTCCCACTGCCGCAGTAATACAGGTCCTTATGTAGTCTCCCCCTCATTCCCATTTCTTTGCTTCTGGTGCGTCTAGGGTGAAGGGTGGGATAATAGGCTGGTGCACCCCTCTTTCTGGACTGCAGATTCTACTGGATATTTATTTACAGTGTTTTCTTATAGTTTTGTGTGAAAACTGCAAGATTGGCAGCCCTGGGGCCTGGAAACTTTTTCTATTTAGGGCGTGTATACCCCAGACAATGGGATTGCAGATTTCTTGCACTCTACCCAGTGTGCCTTATTTTTCACTTGGAACTACAACCCTTAGGGCTAAGTTGGGGAGTTTCTCTCACAGGTTGGCACCTCTGCTTAGACTGCGAACGACTCAACTACCGCCAGTTATGGCGCGCAGTATTGTAGGGGCCTGCTCTCTAGGAACTGGACTGAGAACTGACCTGGATTGGATTTTAACCAGTGTCCTGAACTCCATAAGTCATCAGACCAGTCCTCCCTATTTTCAGTATTTGATAAGGGGCATTGCTTAAGAGAAATGGCAAGTGCATCCAGCTCTTGTTTTCCCAAGTGCTATTTACTTGGCGAAGAGTTGGGGGAAATGTAATGTGTCTTCTTGAGTTATACATGAAGGAGGTAAAAGATAGCTAAGGAACTGTTCTGAAAAGAACTAATTAACCCACAAGTTCCTCTAGTGTGCTTTAGGGAGACGTGTTGCTCTGCAGGTATTGTCTTTACTGTGGAGATTCTGATCTATCATGAGGGTCTCGCCAATATACATTGCTTAACCAGGGCACAGTTAGGGCATTATTATAGAACCTTTTGTTTTATTCATTAAATGTCTCTTTTTTCGACCAGGTACAGTTCCGACCGCCGTTTATCTGACCTCTCAGATTACCGTCGTTTAGCAGACTCGCCACTTGTGTTCCGTCATTCGCCGACAAAGTCCCCGCTGGATTATCGCCGTCTTCCAGAAGTGCATTCCGATTATGCCCGCTATTCGGGTGCCTATGGCGATTATATGCATACTGCTCGACTACATTCAAATTTTCAGCGCCGCCTGTAGGTGGGGGTGGGGTCCCTGTGCCAGATGGGGGCTGTGTCATTGCTTACATGTTCCCCATTGGGACGTGTTCTTAGCATAAAGCCAATCTGCGTCTTTACTAGGCTGGCTTCCTCATTCAGTTCTTTGCAGATTCTGAGTTACTAAATTTCCTTCCCTTCCATGCTCGCAGGCGTCGTCATAGCCGCCTGTTTTGGTTCTGTACTTTCACGTCACTTGATTAAAGAATGGTGGTGATAGTATGAGGCGTCTCTGAGACATGCTACTACATCCAACACAAATAGCATTCTCCTGGTCTTTACTTTTGAGGATTTTATTTTCAGCTGCCTTTTTTGTTGCATTTTTAGAATGATCTGAATTTATGATCTCAAGAAGAACCCGTGTTGCGATCCCAGGAACGATGTAGATGGCTGCTGCACATTGTCTTTGAAAGTTGAAGACTCGAGTTCCTTCGTGCTCCAGTAGGGCTAAGAATGCCATAGCATACCTGGAATCGTTTTTTGCTTGCGACTTCTGATGCTTCATGTCTCCATTAGTAAGACATAAGTTGCAGATGCAGGATTTCTAATAAATGCAATTTACAATGACTGTTGCTCAGTATTGTTTTTATAACCCGAGCAATTGCTGTGTCTGAACGGAAGAGCAAATGCTGTTTTATGTAACATGAAATTTTTTTTCCATTTACACCCGTGTTAAGTTTGCAGTAGATGTGATGTTTGAATCTATACATTTGAAATGAGTTAGTTTTTGTATTCACTGTAAATAAAATGCGGGGCTATTTACAGTTTAGAAAGTTGTTTGGTGTATTTTTTCCCCCAGTTTATTTTGTTTCAGCAGTCATGTCCCATGTTTTTTACTCTTGTTTTCATCCTAAAAGTAAATCAGATTACTGCAAGGCAGCCAGCTCTAGGGAAGAAATGTGGTAGTTAGCTGCTGAACAACAGTAGAGAAAGTTGGAGGTTAGGTTAAGAGCAGGCCAGATGTCAGCTGTTAAGATGTGCTGTGAGATTTGTTGTTGCATTGTAGTTGTGCCCTGCTCCCCCTTAACAGGCATGTCAGAGGTCCTTGAGAACTTAAAACAGAAAATATGCATGGGGGGAGAGCAGTGGGTGACTTATTTCCTAAAGTGGGTTAACACCTCTTAAGTCCTATTACAAAGTACCTCTTCACACAACACTGCCTGGTAGTGGATTCATTTACAGCACAGATCGCTCCCATCAACTCTTCCAGCATTTAAGCCTGGGGTTTGAAGGTGTTAAAGATTCGCCATCTACATGATGCAAGAACTGAGCTTCCAGTCCCTGTCCTGAATTTGTTACAGCATATATTAGATTAACGTGGAGCCTGAAACTGCTAAAGGAGGAAATAACTTGCCTTGAGAGAATGTTCTGAATTTTCAAAGTAGAGCAGAGTAGCTAGGAAGAAGCAAGTGGCCTAGGTGTATAAGGGCAAATTAAGGAATGATATCTGAGGGACTGAAAGCAGCGGGGATAGGGAAAGGATGTGTGTCTGCCTGAAGACACTGATAAAGAGGCAGTAACACAGAAGGTTGAGAGGGGCAGGCAAGCAATCTTCTCATGAATACCAGCTCCACGGGCCATGCCCCCCCCCCCACTGCCTCCTATAGAGGAGGAGAAGAGAAGGTACTTCAAAGTGGCAGCGCTGCTTGAAGCCTGGGCCCAGACACCAGCTAGGGTGTGCCCAGGCTGCATGTAGCGTTTCAAAGTGGCAGCACCACGTGGAGCCTTGGATCAGCTGGGGAATGACCCTGGGCTCAGTGCGGCGCTGCCACTCTGAAACACCACCACAGTGTTTCAAAGCGGCAGCCCTGCACCTCGGGCTCCACACGGTGCTTAGGGCTGTTGCGGCACTTCAAAGGCAGAGGCACCTTATCAACTACTCAAATAGTCGATGCAAACTGTATTGATTATTTGATTATTCAGTTACCCGGATACTTGACATCCTTAGAGTGCACTGGCTGCTGGCCCTGCTGCCGGGGACTGTAGAATAATCGTGTAACCACTAAGATTTCATGCGGTTACACATCTTTAATTACAAGATATTTAGCATCCCTAGTGCAAGGATCAAAGAGATCCACTGTGGAGTCTGATGCTTGAACAGACGATGTTGAGAATGGTTGTGGATTGCTGGATAAAAGGGGATGTTACAGCTGCAAGGATTAAAATCCCAATTTGCTTTTTCCTCTGGCTGTGTTAGAATGTACTTGCTTCCTGTTGATGCTAAAAGCAGTTGGCTTTTTTTATTGCTAGTAATAATTTTGCTGCTCTTTCTAAAATCTCTTTGAGGCGGTGTGATTTCATCATAGGCCAGCCAAAAATGACAACTCATCAATTTCCTTTTTTTGTGTGTTCTAGTGATGAGGGCTTCTTTCCCCACTGTAGGTCTCCTAGGTGGTAGTGGATGCTTTACCTTAGTATTTACCTCAGTCCCCAACCCTAAACCAAGAGGACTGATAATGACTCATCAAACTTCCTTTGTATAATCCATGACCTGTAACGACCGCATCAGAATATTCTCTTTCCAAATTGATAAATGCAGGAGCTACCTCAACTTTTTTTCCCAGAAGATATCTATTTTTGTATGTTTCAGTCACTTATACGTGACTTTGATTTGATGTGGTATGCAGTTGCCTTGTCTATAGGGTTGTTCAAATTTTGCTTTACTAACTATCCACATAAATCTTACCCTTCCAGTATGTTGAGTGTAAATGTTTTAGATTTGCCACTGAACCTGTTTAACTTCTTAAAATGCTCTTAAAAATTAAATGCAGACATGTAAATAATTAAACTTGAGTAGGAAAACAGTTTCAGTTGGAAAACTTATATTATGGTTAAATGATTTGTATCCAGAAAATTTTGTGAAATTCTGTAGCTATTGGAATTGGTGACAAAATAACTGTGGGGTATGAACTTTTTGCAATTTTTACTTCAAAAGTTACTTTAAACATTCTCTGCTAAATGTTCCATGTCAAATATCTATCTGGTCCCTAGTACACTTGCTGTCCTGTAGGTGTTGTTGAAAATCTGGGCTGGATATGGAAATTTAAATACGTTATAGATTAGAAATATTTTTTTAACTTCAGATGATTTAACTTTGTCATTCATGCATGTAGAAAATGGTATCTGTCCTTTGGGCAGAATTTATAATTAGTTTATACCTGTGTTCTGAATCCTGTAGAATTTAGCTCAACTTATGTTTAAATGCTTTTTTATAATCAAGCCAAAAATCTTTATCTCAACAGTTTAAAAACATTTACTACATGACAGTAGTTTTGTACTGATTGTAACTGATTTTGTATGTTTTTATGTAAGTAGTAACATGGTTGACTTTTGATTTCTTATATCAATGTGAGGTTTTTTCATTGCTGGTATGTTTTTATTAAAATATCTAGAATATTTTCTTTGAATTGTGAAATTCAGTGGAAGCTCACTTATTAAAGAATTAGCCTGTTCTAATCCTATTTGGGAAACTGGGGGAGGATTTAAAAGTTTTGATTCTGTTAAATGTTGTTTGAAGGGAAAAATCTGGAAAGAGGCTGGATGTGTAAATAAGGGGACACATTCAAAACTACAGTATGTGGAAGAAATATTGTCTTACTAGTTTGTGGAACTCAGGCTATGTCTACTCTTACAGTGGCAAGACTGTAGCATCATTTTATCACCCCACTTAGAACAGCCAGAGGTATTCTCCTAGTAGAGATGTAAAATCCTGTTTAACTTGTTAAACATTAAGTTTAATTGGTTAACTCATTAAATGGGGTTGGGCTGGAATGGGCCACATGCCATGGGCAGAAGCTGCTCCAGCCTGTGTGCTTTCAATCCTGTGCTGGGATTCCGGCTCTCATTTGCTGGGAGTGAACAGTCTTGCAAGGGGCTGGATGTGGCAGCCTCCCTCTGCCACCTCTGACCCTGTTTGAGGCTGAGGGCTGCTCCTGGGTAATGGTTAACCATTACCTGGTTAAGCATCAAGGGTAGTGCTTACTTGGGTAACCAGTTGACATCCCTATCTTCTGTTGCTATAGTTATTCCACCTCCCTGAGAGGTGTTAGCTAAATCAACAGAAGAATTCTTCCTTTGACCTAGTCCTGTCTAAACTGAATGTTAGGGTGGAATAGTCATATTGCTAAGAGAGCATGAATTTTTTTCACACCTGACATGCAGCTATGCCAGTGTGAGTTTTCAACATAGATCAGCCCTAATTTTACCAAATCAGCATTAAGAGCAAGTTGGAGCTTTAAAAGGGGCTTTGACACTTAAGGCAAAAATATCCATTTAAGAAATGTAACTAAAAATATTTGAGAGCTGTAAACTAACCTGCTTCAACTGCGACACAAACCAGTCTTTAAATTGGGAGAACTTTCCTCCAGTGGAAGATGCTTCTTATTGCTATGGGCTTGCCTACTCTTAAAATGTTGCATCTGTGCTTCTATAGCAATGTGGAATTAATGGGATAATGCCAGTGGGAGAGCTCCCATCAGTATATTTGTTTTGACAGGAGAAGCCCTCCTATTGATAGTGTTATCTGCATTGGGAATTAGGTCTGTGTGGATTTTTCCATGTCCCTGAGCAATGTATTTATTTCAGCATAGCTTGTGTAAATGAATCCTGGATTACAAGGCAGTTTGTTGACCTAACTATATAAGTGTCTACACTTAAATTTCTTTCCACTGACATAATGAACCCCCAATGCCAGCTCCACAAGAGGCGTAGAGTCAAGGTCAATGTAGTTAAGTCGGTGCTGTCAATGTAGATACTGCATTGCTTCGGCACCTGTCACTGACTTTCAGGAGCTGTCCCACAATACCCCACTCTTGACAGTACAGTTAATATGGGCACTTCTGGTGAGGAAGCATGCCACCCATACAGGGAGCAAAGTGTAGAAATGCACAAGTGATAATTACCGTGGTGGCAGTATGCTGACATAAGAATTTGGTTAGTGGTCAAGGGTTGTGCTCTTTAATAGAGATGGGGTAGTGTCTGGGATGGAGGTTGGGTGCAAAAGGGAGCATGAGGTAGGTGGGTGATTGGGGTGCAGGAGGGCCTGTGGGAGCTGGGAGGGAATTTGAGTGAAGGAGGGGGTTGTGAGCTGGGGCAGAGAGTTGGGAAAAGGAGAGGCTGGGGCCAGGAGGTGCTTACCTAGGTAACCTCCCAGCCAGCAGCACTTTGATGTGCTGCGGGGGCCAAGTGCATCTCTGAGTGCAACGAGACCTTGGGGAGGAGGGTAGCGAAGGCTTTGCATGCTGCCTGTGTTGCAAACAGCCCAGGGAATGGCCAGTGGGAGCTGCAAGATTGTTCTGGGGGCAGGTCCAGTGTGCAAAGCCGCCTCTCCACGGTGCTCAGACATGCACATGGGCCCCGCAGCCAGCTGCTTTGAGCGGTGTATGGTAGTGGGCAGGCAGGGAGCCTGCCCGAGGCACCTGTTGGGCTGTGGGCCAGATTTAGCCCATGGGCTGTATTTTACCTGCTGTGACAAAGTGGGGATTGTATTCACTCTGCTTTATGTTGCGTATGATTTCTATTGTCCAGTAGTAACCCCGTGTGCGTGCCTTAGTTTCCCTAGACACAGC